ATTGAGTATTATGTTGGCTGTTGAGTTTGCCATAAATAGTTTTTATTATGTTGAGATATGTTTGAGTTTTTATCCTAAATGGGCTGGGTGCTGAATTCTATCAAATGCCTTTTCTACACCTATTGAGATGATCATGTGATTTCTGTCCTATCTTTTGTCAGTGCGGTGTATCGCAACTTTGGGTTTAATCTAGTTAATAACAGTATCTGTTTCATATGATGCTGTGAGAATTAAATGAATTCTTGCACGTAAAAACTTGGAACCAGGAGACTTGGAAGGGCAATGCTGGGGTAGCCAGAAGTACAGGAATATGAACAGGTGGATATAAAGTTATTAAGACAGGAACCTAGAATATTGTAGATATCCAATAGATTTTTATCTTTTTAAGTTGAATTTTATCTTTTTAGTTGACTGTAGTTTAGTTTCTGGTGTGCAGCAAAGTGATTCAGCTATACATTTACATACATACTCTTTTCCACTGTGGTTCATTACAGGATATTGAATATAGTTCCCTGTGTGATACAGTAGGACCTTGTTGTTTGTTTTGTATATAGTAGTTTGTATTTGCTAATCCCAAACTTCTAATTTATCCCCCTACCCCCTTAGTAATCGTAAATTTGTTTTCTATGTCTATGACTCTACTTCTGTTTTGTAAATAGTTCATTTGTGTCATATTTTAGATTCCACATATAAGAGATGTCATATGGTATCTATCTTTCTCTTTCTGACTTACTTCACTTAGTATGAGAATCTCTTGGTCCACCCATGTTGCTGCAAATGGCATTATCTCATTCTTTTTTATGGCTGAGTAGTACTCCGTTGTGTACACACATACCACAACTTCTTTATCCAGTCATCTGGCGATGAATATTTAGGTTGCTTTCATGTCTTGGCTATTGTAAATAGTGCTGCTGTGAACACTAGGGTACATGGTGTCTTTTTGAATGAGAGTTTTCTCCAGATACGCACCCAGGAGTGGGATTGCTGGATCATATGGTAACTCTATTTTTAGTTTTTTAAGAAACCTCCGTACTATTCTCAATACTGGCTGCACCAATTTATATTCACACTAACACTGTCGAAGGGTTCCCTTTTTTTCCCCCACCCTCTCCAGCATTTGTTTTTTGTAGACTTTTAAATGATGGCCCTTCTGACTGATATGAGGTGGTACTTCAGTGTAGTTTTGATTTCCATTTTGCTAGTAATTAGAGATGCTGAGCCTATTTTGTGTCTGTTGCCCTTATGTGACATCCAGTAAATGTTTGCAGCCATTCCAATTAGATAAAAATAAAATATATTTGAACAGAAACAGAAGACTAGAAGACGGTGACAAATAATAGTAACAGTGGTTATCTTTAGAATATTAAGAGGCAGGAGTGGGAGTGGTTTTTCTCCTTTGTTACCATTCTGTGATTTAAAATTATCTACAACGTGGACTGCAGCATGTAAATCAATGAAATTAGAACACTCCCTCACACCATACACAAAAATAAACTCAAAATAGCTTAAAGACGTAAACATAAGACACTATAAACCTCTTAGAAAGAAACATAGGCAAAACATTATCTGATATCAATCTTAGCAGTGTTCTCCTAGGGCAGCCTACCCAGGCAACAGAAAACAAAAGCAAAAATAAACAAATGGGACCTAAGTAAACTTAAAAGCTTTTGGACAGCAAAGGAAACCATAAGGAAAACAGACAGTCTACAGAATGGGAGAAACCATTTGCAGACAATGAGACTGACAAGGGCTTAATTTCCAGAACATACAAAGTTGTATTTCCAGCTCATACAGCTCAGTAACAACAACAAAAAAACAAGCAGCCCAGTCCAAAAATGGGCAGAAGACCTAAACGACCACTTCTCCAGTGAATACATACAAATGGCCAATAGGCACATGAAAAAATGCTCAGTATCGCTAATTATCAGAGAAACGCAAATCAAAACTACAGTGAGGTATCACCTCACACCAGTCAGAGTGGCCATCATTCAAAAGTCCACTAATGATAAATGCTGGAGAGGCTGTGGAGAACAGGGAACCTTCCTACACTGTTGAGAATATAGTTTGGTGCAGCTGTTCTAGAAAACAGTATGGAGATTCCTTAAAAGACTAAAAATAGACTTACCGTATGATCCAGCAATCCCACTCCTGGGCATATATCTAGAAGGAACTTTAATTTGAAAAGATACATGCACCCCAATGTTTCTAGCAGCATTATTGAAAATGGCCATACATGGAAACAACGTAAATGTCCATTGACAGATGAGTGGATAAAGAAGTTGTGGTATATTTATACAGTGGAATACTACTCGGCCATAAAAAAGAATGCCATTTGCAACAACATGGATGGGCCTGGAGATTGTCATTCTAAGTGAAGTAAGCCAGAGAGAGAAGGAAAAATACCACATGATATAACTTACATGTGGAATCTTAAAAAAAGACAAATGAACTTATTTACAAAACAGAAACAGACTCACAAACATAGGAAGTAAACTTATGATTATGGGGGGGAAGGGATAAATTGGGAGTTTGAGATTTGCAGATACTAACTACTATATATAAAATAGATCAACAGCAAGGTCCTACTGTATAGCACAGGGAACTATATTCAACATCTTGTAATAACCTGTAATGAAAATGAATATATATTTATATGTAACTGAATCACTATGCTGTACACCAGATATTAATACAATGTTGTAAACTGAATATACTTAAGTTTAAAAAAGATATATATAATTAATAAATAAAAATGTCTGCAACAAACATAATAAATGTTATAATCTGGAAAAAATAACCAATGTTTTTAATAAATGCTGAAAACCATTAATATTTTTCATTTCATAAAACATCTTTTGTTGACATTCTACAAATGATACCATCCAGTAATGTCCCAATACTTTCTTCTTGTGAAGACAGTTTATATATCTGTAAAAATAAAAGACAGATGACATGCTGAAATATTCATGCACTACTAATT